TAAGCCAATAATTCTAATGTTGTTCTGCTTCATAGCATCAGACATAGCTCTTAGGTTTTCTTCAGGTTCTCTGATGATCTTATTAGATTTTTATTGGCGTCTGTTAAAGTCTGCTTGGCTGTCCTCCAAGTCACTGAGGCAGTTCTCTGCTTCCTCCAGTTGCTTCTCGAGGTCCATGTTTCTGCTACTGGTTTTTGTTATCTCTTCCCTAAGCTCCTGTATTTCCCTTTGGTGTATGGCCTTTATCTCCTCTATCATTTCGTCTTTTTCCTGTATTGTTTCCCTCATATCCTGTATAACTCCAAGGAGCATTCTGAAAATTTCTTTCTGTGGCACCTCAGTGTCTGCTTCTTCTATACATGTCGTTATGTTCAGGATATCTTCTGCCACTGCCTTTCGTTTCTCCTGTTTTTTCGTTCAGGTCATTGGGGCGGGTGGCTGTTTGCGTTTCCTTGTTTTAGAGGAACCATGAGCCATTTTCCAGGGAGTCAAAGAACACTGGCTTTCTCTGGGAGACTTGTAGGAATGCTTCTTCCAACTGCCTACAGCTAATTTCACTATGGAATTAACGTACCACTTTATCCTCCTGTGGCTTCCCTCTCAGGGGAGTGCCCCAGAAGGCTTGTGGGTTGCCTGCTTTGGTGTTGCGGAGTTTGGGCAGAGGTTCCTGAAGCAGCTTGGAACGTTGACAGGTGTTGGCTAAGCTGCCTTAAGCACCCAGGCACACAGGAAAGAATTCGATGGTAAGACGCTGGGCTGAGTATCCCGTTGGAGGTCTGCAGGGCTTTCCCAAGCCTCAGGCTAGCCACACAGGGTGGAGCTCACCTAGCTGGGTGTGGAGCAGGCGTAAATGTCCTAAGCTAAGGGGAGTGGGCTGGAGGTCAACAGTGGAGTGTGAGAGAACAGGAAAAAGACAAAGAGGAGGAAAAAATTAAAAAGTAAGCCTGCTGAATCTGTGCAGGGATATAGAGAAGAGAGGGAAATAAAAGTAACAATGTAGCTGAACACCGATCCCTGACTGTGGGCCTGCAAGGGTTTAGTCCCTGCCCAGAGGCAGCAGCAAGCTATGGCTGTGTTGAGAAAAAGCCCCTGCACAGCCTGCTGAGACTGGGGGGGAGGGGGGGAATAGAGAGAAGAGAGGGAAACAAAAATAACAATGTAGCTGAGCCCTGAGCCAAGCCAGTGGAACTACAAAGATTTAATCCCTGCTCCAAGTCAGTGGCAGCAAGCTGTGGCTGTGTTAAGATAACCCTTGTGGGCTCTGGCAGAGAAAGTGTCCGGGATAAGGTCAAGGCCTAGCCAGCTTCCACTATGGGAAGCCAAAAGCCCCCAGCTCCTCAAAACCTTGTGGGTCTGTGCCTACTAATCTTTATGATGCTCCTCCTGCATTCCAGCAGTGTTGAATTTCCCTCTAAGCAACTCTCCTGGGCTGAATTCTGCGGAGTCCCTCTGGTATGTGTTATTCCGTCGCCATCTTCCGGGAAGTCCCAGACATCTTCATTCTTGTTGATTATCGCTTACTATTTTGATATTTATATATTAAGCCCAGATATTTTCATTGCATTTTTAAAATAAATGAGAATTCTTTCATATAAGAATTTAAGGTGGTGCAGTGAAACAGCAAGGGAATGGAGCGGCAAGGTCCCCAGGGAATGCTGAAGGTGAACTTTGGGGCCAGGGCGTAGTGCCCCAACATACTGGACTGGAAAACACTCCTAAAGGCCAACAAATGATCCTTGAACTAACTGAAAGCTTTTCTTTCTTGTTGTGTTTTATTTTGTTTTTTTGTCATTGGCTTGTTGTTGTTTTGTTGTATACTATTGCTTGGTTTTGCACTGTCTTGTTTTTGTGCATGTTATTATCTCTGCAGGTCTGTCTAAATAAGATAGGCTGGATGAACAATCTGGAGGAGAAAAAACGGGACCGACAGTTAC